CTGGATAGTGGAGAGAAAAGTATCAATTAATTATAATTGAATGAATTGTGAAAATCATGCTTTTGCATAATACGTGACGAAGATCGACAGGGTTAAGAAAAAAATCTTATCTTCAAAAAAGAGAAGTTCAGCACTTTTCAAAAACAAAAATCGGAAAAAAACACTTTTTAAAAACGCTATGCACCTTGTTATTTAGCCAATATAGGCCATTCTAGGATCAAAAAATCTAGACATTCCAATATTGGTAAAAAATGAGTGTGTTGAACCAATAACATGATCTTCATCATAGGTACGCCATAAATTTTTTTAAAAAAAAATTATTATTAAAATGGCTAAAATGAAAAATTTGATTTTTAATAAAATAATATTTATAAACTTTGAAATTTAAGATCAAACAAATCAAAATTCAAAACAAAATTTATTTCTTTGTGATGTTTTGTTTCAGAGAAGAATTTTAATGACTTCTGGAGGAAAAGACTATAAGGGATTTGTGACAAAAGTGCTCCATAAACTCCTTTCAAATGAGGTTGGAGAACGTTATTCTCTAACAGGGAAAACCAACACATCACTCACAAAGTTGCCATTTGAGAAGACTGAAGTTTATAAATTAATTTTAGGTAAGACATTTTTTCTTAAACAATTTTTATTATTGGATGAATTCCTTAAAGCCTGCATAAAAAAAGAAGCATAGTTATTACTAAATAAAGATGGACATTCCAGGGTTGGCTTTTTGCCGACAGAAACTGGTTTTTGCCATGCCAGTGGCAGAAACTGAAAAAACGTCTATATTAGTTCTATTTCCATATTCATCCATTAATTGCTTAATGACATTTTGTTTAAGTAAACTGAAAAATGTAACTCCATGTAACTGTAACAAACTTTTTAATTCATTGTTTGTAAATCTATATTATTTTGCTTATTTTAAATATAAAGAGTGCAGTATTATAATTTGCATGGCAACAATCCAATTATTATAACAGTTACAGTTTTAATCTTTACTGTATGTAAGAGGCAATATAATGATTAGATTCACTGATTCATAAATGAAAACAGCAATTTCATTGGTTAAAATATTTGTAAATTGTACTTTGTTTAACATTTAATTGCTTTTTCTATGAATTGTCCATTGTATGTCAATCTCAGTACTTACTTTTATGTCATTTTCTGAATTTCTGCAACAAATGCGGCAGAAAAGGGTTTCTGCCATGCCACTTTTAACCGGTTTCTACCAGTGGTTTTAACCACCTCAGCAGAAACTTGCCAACCTTGGGACATTCCATTAGGCGAACCCAGGCAACTGTCAGAGATCGCCACTTTGATTTATTTAGGAATGTTTAAAGAATTTATGTTTTTGCTCTGTTTCACATGTTTGTGTTTTATTTTGAATGTGTTATGTTTCTGTTAAAAAGAAAATTTGCATACTATTAGAATGTACAATGATTATTTCTTAGGATTAATCAGATAATAACTAAACTCAGTGGAACGGCAGCCCATAGAGGGCCTACTGTGCCCATCTCAATTTTCTTGACCTTGGGCTCTGGGGTGCAGGAGCAGATATTCCGGCTAGGTGGTCAGCCAAACCCGAAACCTCCAGCGTTTAGTTCTCAAGCGTGCTTGGTATTCATTTATCGATCCACTGAAGGGATCAAAGCGCCACCGGGCATCAATCAGATAATAACAGTAATATATAAAAATTTCGAGATACATATAATTCTTAAAATTTAGTGCAATTCATTCATTTTATGAGATTTATTAGTTTTTATTTAAAAATCCTTAGTAAGTTCTTCTCAAGCAAATTACTATAAAATGAATTGTAAGTTTTTTTTCTAACAATGTGAATCAACACTCATCATTTATATGTGCATTATATATATATATATATATATGAGCTTCTTTTCTTCCTCTCTCTTAGTTGAGAGAGGAAAAATTTTTCTGCCTAGGGGCGCAGATCCTGTTACTAAATTTTTTTAAATGAATAATCTTTGAATTCGGGTGTATTTAATTACCCCTCTATTTTATCATTTCTTTTTTCAATGTAATAACTTAAATGGGTTCTTCATCACAATATCCATTCCTCGTATTTTTATTAATCTCGTCTTTTAATATAATGTTCATTCTATTTTTTTAGATGTGGGTTACCAATCATTCCCCGAGAGTAAAGAAAATCAGTTTAGGGAAGCTGTAGGAAAATGGTTTGTACATTCCAAATTTAGGATCTTTAAGCAGTAAGTTTATCTATATTTGTCAATTCTAATATTATACATAACTATAAATTGTTTACTATCAGTTAACCCATTAAAATTAAATGACGCTTTTGGGTAGTTTTAATTGTGTTTACTTCAATTTTTTATAAGAATCTCATGGATTGGAAGATTATCTTTTAAAATAAGATAAAACGGTAAAAAAAAGAAACACAGCTAACATAATGTGTGTAAATAATGTTTAGAACATAGCTACTAGAGCTAAGCTTTTGTGTAAAAAATACTTAACATAGCAATTTTATTTTAATTTTTTGTTTATCACAGCAGTAACAAAAATGATTAATGACTTTTTTCTCTTTACTCGCTAAAGGTTTATATGTAACCGCCAATTTTGACCTATGTGTGGCAGATATTTTAAATACTTTTGTGTTGAGGGTTTACATTTAAACCTGAACTTATTCCTGTCTGACTCAATATATTTTACTGTTTACATGTAACCTACCCTGTTTTTTGTTAAGTGAACCAGTGGTCCAACCATTTTAAATTTGAAAAAAAAAATGATAAAAATAATGAAAATTATAACTTATTATGTATTGAGCGAGTGAAGATTAGTTTTTAAACATAGTTTGTTTGATCAGCGAATTACGAGGGTTGTAAATTAAATAGTGGCAACTTAACCTTAAAACTCAAAGAAGGGCGGGCCTGCGCAAATAGGATATGGGAGCGGTGAGGTGGTGCTGTTGTTGATGTGTAGAGTGCAAAAAACATTTGATCTGCTTGAAAGGGTAGTTGTTGTGTGGCGTTAAAGTGAGGAGTTTCGTTTCCATCGCTCTAAAGCATGCTTTCAAAAGGCTTAATGACGAAAAAAGACGAGATGTTTGAACACATCTTGCTACTGTCCTATACGGTAAAGTATTCGCGCCACAGGCTTCCACTAATCCTCGATAGCATTCTGTTGCATTTTTGCCACGGGCAACCTCGATTTTAAGCCACGACCGCTGATCACCATTTGAAAGCATGCTTTAGAGCGATGGAAACGAAACTCCTCACTTTAACGCCACACAACAACTACCCTTCTAAGCAGATGGACTGTTTTTTGCACTCTACACATCGACAACAGTGCCACCTCACCGCTCCCATATCTTATTTGCGCATGCCCGCCCTTCTGTGAGTTGCATGGTTCAGTTGCCACTATTTAATTTACAACCCTCGTAAAATACAGTACAGAACCCGTTATCCGGAACGAAATTCGATAAATATTCCTGCTATTTTTTAAAATAGCAGGATGTTTACCTTACCATCATTTTGGAAATAATCATTAGTGTATTACTTCATCGTTTTTTCTTCTTTTTAAGATTATTTCCAGATATATTTTTTTTAGTTGGGTTTAACAATAAAAAAACGGCTTTTTGTAGCGATTCAGAAAACCGGAAAAATCAGTTATCTGGAATAGCGATGGTCCCGATTTGTTCCGGATAATCGGTTCCTTACTGTAGAATGAAACTAGATGGTTTTGACTAGGATGTTTTTTTTAACATGGAGAAATTTTTTTCATGGAATCTTTCACAGCATTCCTAAAAAGGAGCCATTTGGTTAAATAAAACTAATATTTAAAGAGTTTCAGCTCAATAAATTATTTAGACCCCACCCACATGCGTCAACCTATTATTTTTATTCAAAAAATTGCACATACTTACATAAATATTGACTCATTCCAGTTATTCCTGAAACCATTTTACAATGGTTACAAATTGTACACAAATTTTTACGAGGGGTTAGGAAAAACACCTTTTATTCTTAATTTATCTGAAAGAAAAAAAACATCAGCTACAAAATAAACCGATATTTGTGTCTTTACAACTGTCCGTTCAGATTTTATGGCGGAAAAAATACTATTTTTTTGAGAAAAATTTTAATTTTTTTAAAACTTTGACGCCCAGAGATGAGGTCTACATTTTATAATTTTTTGAGCTGAAACTTTCAGAATGTATTAGTTCTATAAGAAAATGGCATCTTTTTAAAGGGTCGCGTCAAACTTTTGTTTTTTATGACTTATATCTTGCTATACCCAGGGTTCCCACTGGTCAGGGAATTTTATTTTAACTCTAAAAAGCAGGGAAAGTTGCAATTTTTTACAAAAAATCTGAAAAATAACCAATTATTGAGATTTGATTTAAGTAATTATAACATCTATTATAATTATTTTATTTTATAAAATTCCACCCCTTAGTGAAACTTTTCCATTCTATTATATGTTTTTGCTCACAAAATCTAATATTTAATATTGCAAATTTTAAAAAATCAAAGTTTTTTGATGAACAATAGCAAGGTATAGATAAACTAATGTATGGATTTTCATTAAAATTTACCTGTTGTATCTGGAAAAGTCAGGGAATTTTTTTTTCCCTGAAATTGGGAACCCTGTATATCTATATTTTTCTTATGAGAATCCAACTTCTTTACTGCTGCAGTTTTTTAGAAGTACCCAACTTGTATCATAAAAATAGAAATGGTATGAATGAAACTGGTTTACTTGATCAGGAATGACAGCTTATAAGTGAAATGATTTAATTTCAGAAAACAAGGTGAAAAGAAAAATAGAACACAAGAAGTTGAATCTATTGAATGGAATGAGTCAAGTTCTAGTATTAATGAAGATTGAAATATTGTCAAACTTTTTGTATAAATTTCATTCAATTAAATTGAATAATTCATTCTCATTGTAATTTAATGCTAGGTATGGCCTAGTGGCAATATTGATCAAACAGTTAACTACCAATTTTTTATAAAAATCAGACAGGTGTTAATTATACAAAATTTAATCCAACTCCTCTCAGACTTAACCTTTTGTACACCAATGACAGTAAAGTCAATTACTTAAACATTAATACACACATATGTTACAAGTATGCTTCATGTGAATTATATTAGAACAATTTCCTAAAATATAAGTCTATGCCTTTTTCAATTACAGTGAAGTTCTTTTTATCAGGATGTCGATTAACAGAACAGTCTAATTATCAGGATCTATCATGGGCCTTGTTACATTGATCCTACAGTGTATTCCACTGCAAAGCTACCTTGATTTTGTGCCATAATGAAACGCAAGGAAAACCAGTAAGATTCATACATGCATATTTTACATAGAATAACTCACTTTTTGACAAACCCGAGAATATGAGTAAAGGGGAACGAAAATCTGCCCTACTGTTTGATTTGAACTATGTCATGTTGACTATCATTTGCTAAACCTTGGAAGACTTAAGCATATATTAATTCAAATTTCATTTATGGCAGTCTTCAATTCAGTATCAGAATAAAACTTTCTTTTTTGTATATCACTAAGCTGTCTGAGCCATCCAAATTCTTTCAACATAGGCTACTGATTAATATTTTTATATTGCCGATTACTTGTACACAATATAAAATGAAACAGTAGATGAGGATATCTTCTCCAATGGCCAGTGTGCTGTTGAGTAATTATTGGAGAGGGACTTTCCAGCAAGGGAACACCTACACTGCACTGCAGAATCTTCACAGGTATGGTTTTTTTGATAAAAGGGTTGCATTTCATGGAATGCCTGGCCTTTTTATATAACTTCAATCTCCAAGGAAACTTGAGGAGGCATCTTCAATATGGCTGTACATTAAAGACTGTTTATGTCCTCCAGGGCTTAAATGGTATTCAAATCATGTAGTTCAAGTTACATGTAAACATAGCAGATATATTGGTTGTTAACTCCTTTGGTGGCCTTATTTCGATAGAACATATCTTTACCTTTTTTTATGCAGTGATTGAACATGCAGATTTGCTATTTTAATATACATGTTAGTTTTCATTGCATCTAGTTATGCTACAAAATTAAAGCGGCTTTGTTGCAGTAGGATACATAGTATGAGAAAAATTGTTTAGGCAAAAAAAAATTTTTTTTTAAATTTATAAAATCTGAATATTTTGCTAGCAATATAATACTTATGAAAATGGGCTTTGCCAAGTAATACAGCAAAACGCCTGGAAAAAGTTTCCTATCACATTGCCATAACTGAATTTATCCGATCATCTAGATTTTTCATTAACCAGATGTGCTGTGGTCCTAACTAATCCAGATAATTAGTTTAGGTTACACGCCTTATACATTTTCTAAAGAAAAAATTAATTTCTGCATATCAACAATATTAAAATAATTTGTTTAGGTTATGCATCTCTCTCAAACAATTATAATAAATTAAAAATTACATAAATAAGCAAAAGTCGGCTGACTAGAAGTCACATAATAATAAATAATGTTGTTACTTATTGTAGGACAGCCAAGTTATACAGCAACTGAAACGAAAAGAAAAAATAGCGAATAAAGCATAATATTTTATTAAGCTAAAAATAAGTAATTGTATTGAGATATAAAAGATTTTTAAGAAAATATTTGTTTAATAAACAATTACCCTTTTACAACACAGCAGTCTCTTGTAAACTGGTATAGTTAAACTGGCAGTTGTTGTAGAAATCAAAAAGTTTGAATATTTAGGTTGGATACCCAGATTTTTACTCAAGACTGATATATATATATATATACTACAGTTGAACCTGTTTGTCTCGAAAACCTCTATGTCTCAAAATTTTTTAAATTCCCTACATTTACTGTCTAAAATAAATGTATTTTCCATGTTTAAGTCGATTTTTTTTTCAAATTTCTAATAATAGAGCACAAATGTCAAAGCTTTCCTTATCAGCAGAACTCGTAGACATAGATGAATTTCGTGAATCCACAGGAAGTAAGGATGAACAGGTTGGGGGTGTTTCTTGGAATTTCAATCACTATCCCTGCACTTCCTTAACTAGAAAGGAATACAATGATTCTGGCAGTAAGTGAGGGGTTAATGAGTAGTGACCATCAGGGGTTAGCTTTTCAACATAGATAAGAAATCTAAGAATAGAAATTCATTTTGACCTCAAAATTGCAACCAATGGATAATTAAGAGTTTTAAAGTGAATTATAGAAAACGATTTATGAGGAATTTGCAATCTTTCTAACCTCAAAGGAATAATTACAACAAATAAGGTTATCAGTCAAAAATCTTATTTATTATTTTCAGTGTTAAATGTATGTTAAAAAACTGTTATGCAAATAGATGTATGTGGTATAATTAATTTAACCTGTATAACTTGAAACCTCTCTAATTTTTCGCCTTTCCCGTGAGATTTGAGATAAATAGGTTCGACTGTATAAAAAATATTTTACTCTTAGAAATAGCGTATTCTTTTATTAAAAATTTTAAAATTTATGTTTAATTAAATATTATATAGAATATTAATCAGCTAATCCTCTGGGGTTAATAGGAAGTAGCATAACTGCCTAACAAACTAGTTTTTACAATGTTATTAGACAGAAAAACGTTGCATGAAAGAGAAAGAAACTATTGGGAAAAGCTGTATTTTGAAAATGTTTTTCACTAGCTAACTTCGGAACTCTTAAAAACACCTATTTATTGTTTGTAATTTAAATCATATGTCTGTCAAAGCAGCAGATTCAATACAGGGTGACATTTCAATGAATGGTGTTATCAGTTTAATTTGCACTTTCAAAGAGTTCATCTGTATTTAAATATCTTGTTTTGCAAAGAAAAAAAATTAAAAAATCTACCAGGTAATGCTGTACATAAGATACTAAGCAGGTGCTTTAAAAGATATTCTAATTAAAAAAATGCGTTATGTGCGCAGCTCATTACACTTGTGTTAAAAAGTTTTTATTATCCTTTGAGAAATGAATGACAAGCTATCATCTAACTTTTGAACTTTTTTTTTTGAAAAAGTAATTCTCAATTATATGAATAATCAAACGAAATATCAGGTCACTTTGAAAAGTTGCTCTTAAAAAAGGCTATAAAAAGCCATTGATTTGCATTTACTAATTCTTCATGTTAATTTAATTAAAGCAGCAATTATTCTTCATATTAATTAATCCTCTCTCACATGGAAGATACCTTAAAATATTTTTATCATTTAAAATATCATGCAACACTTTTCAAAGTGGGGCAAGTAAAAAATAAAATAATATTCTATTTGATTATGTGCAATTGTATTAACCCCATACTTAATTTATTACATTTTTGTTTACAATAATATTATAATTTAACCTGATAAAAAAAATTACAAGGTCAAAACTTTAATCATTTGATGTAAATATTGAATTAATAGTAGTTCCTGGAAGTGAATGTTTTCCTTTGTGTACCCCTACTCTAAACCATAAACGTTTGGAAAGGTAATAATGGCTCATATTTTTTTTCTCTCTAATAGCAAGATGAAAAGACTACTACGTTGAAAAATACAAAGAACCATGTAGAGATCAAACAATGACAGAAAAAAACAAACAGAGAACAAGAGACAAATAGCTGTAGTGATAGACTATGAATAACTTAACGGCCGAGCCTCACAGTGGCCTTTTTGGTATTACAATATATAATGAATATCAAAACAAAATGAGGTACTCACAATATATAATGAATTATTATTTGAAAACAAAAAGTATATTTTTAACTCCAAAGATTTATTTCTTATTCGTTAAACATATAGTTGGTCTAAAGTAAGAATTCCCCTAGCCATTCCTCTGGACCCATGGCGGTGACTATGGTAACGAGTTATAACTATTTCAAGTAAGGTCATTGTTTTGGACAGGTTTTGGCTCAGTCTGGTCAATGAAAGAAAGGGAACCTTTTTCTTTGATCTATTGTGTTTGCCCGAGAATGAAGAGAAGCTATCCTCCCTGAAATGTGCTATAGCAGCAGACGGCTTCAGACTTTGTGGCGGGGGGGGGGGAGTTCTTACCATAGACAAACTATATATATATTTTCAATTATCCTTTTCCCCAGGCCACATGGAGGCTATCAAATATTAAAAAATGCTAGAAACCCATTTATTACAATTTTCAGAGTAAAATGGTGAACAAGGTTGAAAATCATTTAAAATTTTGAATTAGAACCTGCTGAATAAAAATCCCAGTCTTAAAATATATAGTATTTAATACATTTCTAGAAAAAATTAAAGATATATACAGCTATTTAAAGATGAAACTGAAAAATAACAAATTAATATTTGAGATATTGTTAGTAAATTTAATAACCTGTTACATAATTTGTTAGCAATTAAAATTCAAAAATGTTTTAACTGATACAAAAATTTTTTCACATACTTACAATATAATATGATTCAAACTGATACATTAGAACATGCTTGTATCCAAAGTGGTGTTCGTTTATAATGCTTTTCTATCCTACTCAAAGGTTTAGTATCTAAGTCAAGTACAGCCATAGAAAACATATATTGATTTCCAAAATCATCTGATACTAAATTGGCACTCTTTATGTCTCTAAAGTGATTAAAGAAAGAAAAAAGCTTTATTCAAAATTATGATAAAATTATAAAAAATTACAATAATAATAAAACATATTTTTAAAATTTTAGTGTTTTTCTATTTAAACTCACAAAAAAAAAATAGTTCCTAAAAAAATTCATTTTTCAATACAATTGCAGTGTTGCTGTAAAAAAAAAAACTTTTAAGTTAAAATTAATTCCAGAAACAATATCATTCTCTCTCTAACATTCTCTTCTAAACAATTTTGTTTCATTATCATAATTTGCTTGTACCTTATAGATCAATTGCAACATCATTTTTAGTTTCTCAGAAAAAATTTAGTATCAAGTTACAGCTATAACATAAAAAATAAATAATAAAAAAATTGAAACAAAAAAGTCAGGGCCTACAGGTGACTTTATTATTTAAAAATGAAAATTTTAAAAAATAGTGTTGATAGCCTATTTCTTGTAGAATGACCTTTTTTTTTATAGTTAATGATTGTTTCATTTATGAAGATAGTTCTTAATACACAACCTTAGGAAAAACCTTAATAAATAAATCTAAAATAGATGATAGTTAATACAAACTAATTTTAACTACAAATTAATATCATTATCATATTTCTGTAAATTCATATCATATTTCTGTAAATTATTCATACCTGTAGCAGAATTTCAAAAAAATGAATTTATATTTATTTTAAATGACTACTTTTTGGTAACATAAGAATCAAATTTAAAATTATGTAAATTAAAAAAATAAAATTTTGATACCGAAAACGAATCTTTAACATAATGAAGTACTAGATGTTGTATACTTTATGACTGCTACAATATATAACATTTTTTTAAAAAAATAATAAACTTTCTGACACATTTACTTTAAATATTCATTTTAACATATTTTGAGATTGATAAAAAATTTATTATCAGCCTAAATCTCTAATTTATAAACACTTTTTAGCTTGTAAAAAAATTGAGAATTCTGAATTATATTAGTTCAAACATTAAATTGTATAACACACTCGAAAAAAACACATGATAAGATTTGAATACAACAAAAAAAAGTATTTTAGAACTTAGAACCAGTACAAATTTGGAAGCACAGGTTAACAAACATGCTGCTGAGCAAAATAAGATTAACATTTATCTAATACTTCAAGTTATGTGCTTTGTATCATTTTTATTAATTTGTGAATTAAAATTATTTAAAGGTATGCACTAACAAAACAATCTTAAATCATACAAATAAATAAAATGATCATTTATATAAATTTTGATTACGTAAATAATTCTGATTAGTTAAATAATTTTTTATAAAAATACAATTACTTACTCTCCCTCATAGTTGCTTAAAACTAACATTATAGAACAATCCTTAGCCACCAAAGCCATGATGAATTCCCAAACCTAACAATAAACAAGCTTTATAAAACAAATTTCTTAAATCTTTGAGTTAAAGATAATATAAAGCATTTCTTAAAAAAAAAAAAAAGCTTATAGGATGTTGAATGACATATGTACATATCAATTTAAATATATTTTTCTAAGATTGAAACGCTTTTTTTATATTTTAAGAAATTAGATCTTCAGATAATCTAAATCAGAAAATGAATCCAATTTACAAAAATTAAAGAGACAAAAAAGTAAATTAACAATTCATTAAATCAAAATGGAAAAGCAGTTAAAACCAAATTTGCTTTATTTTAATTTAGATATTCAAACATACTATTAAAGCAAGAAAAAGCAATAAAATAAAAGATATGTGTGTAAGACAGCACTTCTTCAGGGGACACACTGCCTACAAACACACAGGAGTCTTTCTGTTGTCAGTAGAAAAACCAAAACTGACAGTGCCCCGAGGCCCCATAATGGATAGACCAATGAGAGAAAATCATTACCAAATTTGAAAAGCACAGAAAAATGATGAACCAGCAAACACTACTTAAAAGTACACTTAGTAAGACTTAAAAATGAAACGCCTACTTATAAATAAAAATAGTTACAGTTAGATTAACCAAATCAAAATAAAATATAAATTGCCGAACCATTAAGAAAATATTATAAATAAATCAAGTGCTGACACCTATTTGAAAATCTTGAACAACGAAACAAAAATATTTAATGAGCAAAAAATTTTTTTATAAGGTACTGCCATCTGCTTTGGAAAAAGAAATCCTTAATTTCACCGCATAGGCCTATTTATGCAGGCTTCAATATTGGCCAAACTATTTGAACGTTTTTAAAATATTTTGAATTAAAACATCATAATTATAGTAATTAAAAGGAAAATTATTATTCTTTAAGGTAATCCTGAAAGTCCCAAGAGCTGATAGAAAATCTGTTTTATTATTACAAATGAATTTAAACCTAAGAATTTGACTAATAACAATATTCTTAAAATAAAGGTTGGAACTAAAATGTGTTAAACTAATTACATTAAACTTAAAATCCCTTCTTTTATCGTATAATCCAATGAAAATTTTATAGTTAAGAATTTTAATATCAAGAATAATGTACATAAATATGTAAAAAATATGTACAATAAATCTTCTGAATTAGTCTTAATAAAATTTAGTTCTTCAGGATAAATATCATTAATTAAATCAAAATCATTACAATCAAAAATAATTAAATCATCAATAAATCTAAACCCAATTAATAAATTATGTTGTAAAAATTTATGTTCATAATAATGTAAGAAAATATTAGAAAAAGCACTTGAACAACAATTACCCATTGAAATACCTTTAATTTGTCTGTAAAAACAAATTTCATTAAAAAGATAATTTTCGAAAATGTTAACATTACATAAATTTATCCAATCCTATTTATTAACGTCTTCATTAATCAAATAATTATCAAAAATATCTAAGCAAATATTCTTTAAATTATAGTATGGTATACTCTTGAAACGATTTTCAAAATCACATGTAAGAATATTATTAATATTATTGTTATTTAAATATTTAATAACGTTTTGGTTGTTATTAATAATAAAATGCTTATCATTTGAAATAATTTTATTTAAAATAATACAGTAGGGAACAGATTATCCGGAACGATTGGGACCATCGCTATTCCGGATAACTGATTTTTCCGGTTTTCTGAATCGCTACAAAAAGCCGTTTTTTTATTGTTAAACCCAACTAAAAAAATAAAAAAAATTTGGAAATAATCTTAAAAAGAAGAAAAAATGATGAAGTAATACACTAATGATTATCTCCAAAATGATGGTAAGGTAAAAAGAAAGAAAAATCCTAAAATCTTATGAGGAAAAAAAATAATTTTTTTTTTAAAATAGCGGGAAAATTTATCGAATTTCGCTCCGGTTTTTTGGTTTTCTGATTTCCGGATAACGGGTTCTGTACTGTATTTAAATAATTAAAAAAAACTTTTACCAAAAACAGAATTATAACAGCCAGTACTGCAAGTTAGAAATCTAAATTTAACTGGTTTTTTGTGAATCTAAATTTAACTGGTCTATTGGGTTTTAATCCCAATTTCTTGGAGGAAGAAGCTAAAATTCTATTATCAATTTCTTTTTTAGAATTATTCATTTGCAGCGAATCAACAGTCTTGAGGTTTGCGGAATTCTTTGAATTAGGGGGAAAATCACATGCTTGTTTAAAGGCCTTAACATTTTGATCATTGGTTGATTTTGTGCGGAATCACCCTAATAAACTCATCTTTTACCACATTAATAATAATTTTAAAAAAATCAAATGCAAAAAAAATTATACTTTTCTTGAAGCATATTGATAGTCTGATTCACTTTTTGCCTTTTGTTTCTCTCCAAGATGAGGTGGAATTTCAGATCTTGAATAACAACCAATGGAGTTGGATGTTCTAAAATTTTGAAAACAGGGAATAATTACAAAACTAAAATGTTTCACAAAACTTAGTAATCATTTCTATGAACTTAAATTTAAATAATTTGAAAATTTAATAATGCAAAACAAAACTTTACTATTTATGCTAAAATGAATTTTTAGAAACAGAAATGTAAATGAAAGAGAGCATTTTAAAGTCTTAGAACTGAGAAACATTAACATTATTAAGACCTGATTTTTTAAGCTCTAATTTGTTAGACATTGTTTTTAATGTCATTAGAATTACAGCCCATGAATAAATTTTAAAAGAATATTTATAAGCCTTAAACAATAAATGAGTTAATTTAACAAATTCTGGCAAAATTCTACCGTATAAGAAAAAATCTAGCAAGCGATACATATTTAGATTGTTTATTTTTAAATAAATTATGAATTAGTATTGCAATAAAAAACATTAAGTTTCTATATAAATTAATCTATTAATTAGACTAAAATGAACTAATTATTAAACTAATTTTTTACTATTAATAAATATATCTAAAAATTAATTTAAATTTTAGACAAGACAAAAAAATTAGCCAGGTAAAAGAGTTAATACTTAATTTATTTATTTGTAGGTTAATCTTATATAAATCGTAAAGAAGTGGTACATTGAAGAGGCAATAGAAATAATATATGCTTTGCGTAAAGAATGCAAAAAAAAATTATGTGCTTAGCATAGAGAAATAGTATATATATTATAAGCAAAAGTTTATTACAATAAATAGTAAATCAAAAAAAACTCTAAGAAAGATCGTAAACAATGGTTATGATAATTCAAATAAGTGATAATTGAAGAGAAATAAAAAAATTACATACTCATCATTTGATTTTCTTATCATATTCAATAAAGAATACACTGTTTGAATATCCAACTTATCTAACAACTGAAGATTTAATACCCTTTGAAGTACACAATCTCTGGGCAAAACATGAAAACCTACAAATACAAGATATTATTTATCATGCTGATTCAATATGGTGATTATAATATTACAGTTTAGCATTCTAACCGTTTAACCATGTTTTGTTTGGATGCTCAGAGAGGCCATTGGCTAAGCATATGTAATGACTATCACGGAAAGAGCTTCATATTAATTATTAGTAGTGTTTATGTAAAGTAGAATCTACTAATGGTTAACAAAACTTGCATTTAGTTTCGATGCATATTGAAAAAGTTTTTATTTGATAATTTTTAAACATAGCCGAAAAAATTAAGGCATCATAGAGGAGTTTGTAGATTTAACTTTCTTGTAACTATTTATACCTTCTTCATTTGTATCAGTACTTTATTTTTATAGACCTCTTTTTCCTGAAATGTTAAAAGAATTTCTGCTTTTAAAGTACATTTTTCATTCTGAAAAATACAAATAAATGAAAAAATCAAACTTTAATGAGAATCGAAATAGTTAACTCTTTCTTACTTTGAATCAGATTTTCTGTACTAGAATATTACTGCTTTAATAATTTACTCCCAATAATAATTTTCAGTAATTTTTTTCTCTTTGGATTTCAGCAATATTTTTCAATAATTTTGTTAGGATCTCACTATTGATTATCAGTAATAATTTACTTTCTGTCGATCAAATTATTACTAAATATTTGCTAGTTCCATATCCTTCTTCAGCTTCAACAGTAAATTAGTTTAAGTGCCTGTCGCTAACTGAATAAGCTTGAGTTGCTATAACTAGAATTTAAATTCAGTGATAAAATACAACTCTATTTAAATAGAACAACATAAACATTAAAAAAAAAAAATCTATTTACACGCACTATTTTTAAATTCTTCATCACATCCGTACTATTATAACTAAAGCGCCATCTATGAAGCTTAAGTCATAACAAACTACATAAATAAATATTTCATTCTCTTTCCTCAAAAGTGGAATGCCAGTTTGATATGAAGAAAACTGGTTGCATTGGTTATAATTCTGTTTTGCAACCATTTCTTGAACCAACAACACAAGTTACAGTATTTCAATCTGTTTCAAATGTGCTGTTTCTCCAAAACTGTAACAAATCCTTACTTTCTCCATCATTAGGATCAAGAGTCATTGTTTTTCTGTTTAAAACAAAATTACTTCAGTATTTTTCTTTAAAATGTCTGAAGAATGTGGGAATCTACTAACAAAAATTACTAATATTTTTTTAACAGTTGATCCAATTCTAAGTTTACAGCTACGAATGTTCTACGATGCAGCTTCGTAATTTTGAACCCAACCCAGACAAGGGAACCCTTGGATTAGGCATTGGGAAAAACTAGCCTTCGTGGAGATATTTTTGATGGAACCAGCCCGCATTTGGGTTACATGGAAATGAAAACCTTCTAAACAAATATTATACATAAGATAAGAATAATATTTGTGAAGGAACCATCTCAAGCTAGATCCGGGTTCGACTGTATAATCATATTTATAGTAAAAACCACATAGGAACTAACAATTATATATACATATGTGTATATAATTTATACGCATCTGTAATAAAAATATTCATATATATGGGTCATTCTCACAAAAACTGTCATTTTTCAGTTCATAAAATCCCAAAAAAGTAAAGTGAATAAAAAGCTCTGAAACTTTTTATATTAATAGAAATATGTAATGGCATTATAAAGAAAGTATATATCCTATAAATTATACTTAATATTTAAATTAATTAATTAATTTCACTATTTAAAAAGTGAGGGAATGACATTTTATTTTAATACATGTTTTTCTCTAAGTTACAGCAACCTCAAGTTTGAAAATGATAACATACTATGTATATCTAATATTTATTATAATTTAGTTTTATATATTTAATAGTTTTTACAGGTTTGGGAAATAAAATTGGCTGGCACGATTGCACAAAAAAAATTTTATAATATAATCATCATGAATCAATCCCTCACTTCAGCATCATTCCCTCACTTTATACACTAGTGAGGGAATGACAAATTTAATAAAATTTGAAAATAACAGTTAGGCCTAATTAATTTCTGAAATCAATCACATACAAGAAAGCAACATATAATTATCCACTTTCTCGATAAAGTTGTATTTTATTTTACTCTAAAAAACGACATGAGGGAATGACAAATACCTGGTTTGATTCATTCAAATTTATTCCACAGCAAAGCTTCTTTAAGTTGAAGATGGAAACATACTGCAATTTTGTTCTATGATGCCAGTTGTTAACTGCTAAAGTTTTTATTAAAATATTTTTATTCTAAGAAGATTGCAGATGAAAAGAACATTGTTGTGAGGGAATGACGCGAAACACTGGGGACAAAGTTTAAAATAGTGCTGTGTTAATATTTTTATCAGAAATTAAATTTAAAATTGATTTTCTGAATTCTATATTTCAATATTCTGAAATAACATGAATTTGTAATTTTTTTTTTTAATTTCAGAAACAATTTTTTCTTTTATTAAATCAACAGTGGACAAGTGAGGGAATGACATATTGGTATATTTTAATTACCTAAAATAAATAAAAAATAAAAATTGACATTTTTATTCTTTTATAAGCCTGCATTCTGAAGGACACTTTCCCTGAAATTTTTTTTTTCATAAGTTGTAAAACAAACATAAAATATACTGGGGACATGAAAATGACTGATTTTGTGAGAATGACCCATATATTATTATCTTTTTCACAACATAATTAAAAATTATGATAAATCAAGATAAATTTCTAAAATAATGCTACTTATGTACATGCATGTCATTTCCTCTTGGATTCTCTTTCCATTAATTTCTTTTAATACATATGAGTTGACCATTCATGAAACTTATTAAGTACCATTCAGAAATTTTTACCTCAAATAAAAATATTTTTTACAAGAATTATTTTTAATTCTAGTGAAAAACACAGAAAAGTTATTGTGTTTTCTACTTCTGAAGCAATTTTTTTTCCATTTAAAATAAAAAAATTTAAATGAAAAACAAGATTTGGAACTAAACTTTAGTGTTAAAAATAAAAAGTTTAATTACCACTTTCAATACATTCAGGGTGAGCATTAGCACAGGTTAAAATATCACATTCATTCAAAGCCTCAAATATTTCTTTAGGCTTACAAGAAATAGGATTAAGTAATACCGCAATGACTAGTTTGATTAAGGCATCAACGCAACTGGAAAAAAAAAAGATAAAGCAAAATAATTATTAAATTTTCAATCAGAAACATAACATTATATATTCTTACATGATGTTCAACAACAAATATTCAGATACTAAATTATATATTTTGAAATAAAAATATTCAAGCCCAAGCTTAAATAGTTCATAGGAAATAGTCAGCTGTTAAGCTAAATGATAAAAAACTAAATAAAAATATCATGAAAAATACTGTGAGCTTAAAAAAAAAAAAAAAAACTATAAGGAATTTTTTTAAATGCATTTATTTATTTATATCACTATTATTTATTGAATGAAAATAAATGTTACTAACAAATTAGCCACAGAATTTTTTTTTGTAAAAAAAAGAAAATTAAATTGCAAAAATGTCAAAGTCTACTAAGAGCAAAGGAAATGTCTTTGTTAAACAAGTAAGTCACAGGAATTGAAATAAATTTTAAAAAAAATTCTCAAGTATTCTACGTGTAGGAAATAACAATTAATCATAAATTAAATAAAAATGTGAAGAGTACTGTGATAAAAAAAAAACTTAGGGCATTTTTATAATATGTTTATTTTTATTAATATTAACTGTTCAATAAAAGTGAATGTTACTAATAAATAAGTCTTAGAAATTAAATTATGTGCTCAGGTCTAATAAGTGTGCATCAAGTCTAATGAGTGTGTGTACATGACTATAAAATTATAAATTGAAATATCATGAATACCGAGATAAAAAAAAATAATGAAGCATTTTTAAAATGCATTGACTTATTTATGCTAGTATTATTTGGCGTATAAAATAAATGCTACTGTAAAGTAATTAAGTCAGAGAAATTAAATTTTTTTTTTAAATGAGCTATAAAAAATTCTCAATGTGTAAAGGTTACAGGTGACTATGAAATTATAAATTAAGTAAACAAATAAAAATATCACGAAGAGAATAGTAATAAAAAATATTATGGGGCATTTTTAAAATACATTTTTTTTTTTAATATTAGCACTGTTTATTGAATATAAATAAATGTCATTGTTGAACAAATAATCCACCGAAATTAAATTTTAAAAAAATTTACTTGTTAATGTTATCCCAAACAAGTAAATTAAAATTCGAAATTAATTTAGTTTTAAATCTTAGAGATAGGTAACTTAAAATGCAGGTTAGAATTTAGCAGGTTAGAGCAGGTTTTTTTTCCTTAATCAGAGATAAAACAAGTTATTAAGTTTTTACTTTTTATTGAATGTAAAAAGGACTTTTTAATTTCCAATTTTTTACATATACCAAACATAAAACATATAACTGATGAATATAACTGTTATTTAAAAAATAAATTATTTTAAAACAGCAAATAATAGTAAAACAAAAATTCGAATACTTTTTTTTANGGTCTGTCCAGGCCGAATTTACTACCGTTTAGCGGTACCTTCACAAATTCAACTTTAGGAAAAACGGTAGTTTCACAAATTCAATTTTGGAAAAACGGTAGTTTCACAAAATACTTTTTCTTAAAATTTCATTTTTGTATCCCTTAAGAAACGATAAATCCATATTTTTGTGTTGATTTCTTAATATAATTTTTAATTTTTCACAAATTACGTCTAAATTTTCACAAAATAGGTACCTGTCAGAAAAACCTAGACAGACCCCTGTAGTATTATTTGGTGCATAAAACTAAATGCTACTGTTAAGCAATTAAGCCAGAGAAATTGAATTTTTTTTTTTAAAAAATGCTATAAAAATTCTCAATGTGTAAAGGTTACAGGTGACTATGTCAAATTATAAATTAAGTAAATAAATAAAAATGTCATGAAGAGAATGGTAATAAAAAATATTATGGGGCGTTTTTAAAATACATTTTTTTTAGTTTATTTATATTAGCACTGTTTATTGAATATAAATAAATGTCATTGTTGAACAAATAATCCACAGAAATTAAATTTAAAAAAAATTTACTTGTTAATGTTATCGCAAACAAGTAAATTAAAATTCGAAAATTAATTTAGTTTTAAATCTTAGAGATAGGTAACTTAAAATGCAGGTTAGAATTGAACTTTTTTTTTCCTTAATCAGAGATAAAACAAGTTATTAAGTTTTTACTTTTTATTGAATGTAAAAAGGACTTTTTAATTTCCAATTTTTTACATATACCAAACATAAAACATATAACTGATGAATATGAGATAATAACTGCTATTTAAAAAATAAATTATTTTAAAACAGCAAATAATAGTAAAACAAAAATTCGAATACTTTTTTTAAAAAAATCCCCAAACACAAAGAATTTTAGAAGACAACTAAAAAATCAGTCAAGTATTTTACTATCTCATTAATTGAGTTTTTGTTAAAATGAAGGAAAAAAAACCTTAACATGTTTCAACTATACATATTTAAAACCATTAAAATAGAATAATTAAATATGCATTTTTTAAGGAAATCTTTCTTTTACCTATATTTAGAATCATTGAAGAAGCCACATAATGTTTCTTCTAAGTCACATCTTTTTTCATTGGAATAAATAATTTTTTGATCCTTAAATATTCGTAGATTATTTTGTGGAGTTTGCAGAAGCATTTTCAGTGCATGCTGCATTCTTTTAGGACATCTAAATCAAATCAATACAAACTAATAAACAACAATTAAATTAATAATTAATTTTTTCTGATACATTTAAAATTTTTAACTATGAAACTTCTTACCCACTGAATAAATCTGTAGGACAATAGGAACTTTTAGGAGAAACACCATCTACCCTCATCTGGGGGAAAAAACAGGTATTTAACAGGTATTTAAGAAGTTAACAGGTATCAAAGCTAATTAACAAGCAAGGAAAGATATAAAAAATATACACATAATCAGAAACTTCATTTTATAATAGAATCAGTTGTACAGAGTGTTCGATAGTGTCAACCCAATATCTTTAGAACTTTTGTTGAAAAAAAGTACACAAAATTAGAGGATTGTAAATGTTGTTATTGCGACTTTTAATGTTTATTTTTAGAATCCTTGTTAAAAACGAAATCAGAAGAGTACACACAGTAAGTTTAAGTAAAGAAAAAGCAAAAACACTTTCAATTGGCTACTAAAGAAGGTATGATTAAAAATATCAAATTCTCCTCAGGGGCCGTTCAAAAAGTACGTACACAAAAATGGAGAAATTTTAAACCCCTCCCCCCCTTCGTACATTACCGTACATAAGGTCTTACTCTCCCCCCCCCCTTAGAGTACGTACATTTTATTAGTCTACATTTATTAGTCTACATTTTATTAGGTTCTTCATAAAAATTAAAATAATTATGTTTTAAATAAAATTAAATATTTACTTAAGGAATGTGTAGGATAAAGTCAAATTTAAATTTGGTGTATGTTTATAAAGTACGTACTTTGCATAATACCTCCCCATCGTACAAAACCGTACATAATAGCAAATCCCCTCCCCCCTTCGGGATGTACGTACTTTTTGAACGGCCCCTCATTGACCTAATGAAGAGGCACTTCTAATAATTGCTCTGCAATTTCTGTTTCCTGTGGCAATTAAACAGGTTTTGATGGTTTCAACACCAACAATAGCAATTTGATCAATTTTGACAGAGTTTTCGTAACAATAATTTGGGAACCCTAATCCCATTTTTGACAAGGATTCTAAAAATATACATTATAGGTGGTCATTAAGGAACACCCAGTTTATGAAGAGTAAAATGCAAAATAATGATTAAATACTCAAATTAATAACAAGGAATAAAAATTTACTTAATATTTTCAAACTGAAACGTTAAAACTACTTTTTTATGGTAATGTTTCAAGTGGTACTTCTGAATTTGGGGTTAAAATAACCTTAGATTCATAAACATTTGTCTTTCAGACTGCACAAACTGTGTAAGCGCTTGTAACTTTTAAAGTGACAGATGAACTTCTAAGTATATTCTTAGATCATTAGATGACTGATAGTGAATTATTTATCTTCCACATGTTTCTGAATCTAGGGTTAAAATAGTATCAGGCACTAAAATTTTAAAGCCAATTTAAAAAAGGAAGAAGAAACAGAATGGAAAATTTTCTTTGACACTTCTTTTCTAAGTTTAAATGTTACTTATACTCTTGAAATGTCTTTTTATCAGAAAAACATCTAAGACTTTTGAATACTTTTTTAAAGAATGGAATAAATATGATATTTTTATTAATGTGTAATTTTAACTCAACAGTGCATGTATACTAAATATGATACTTAAACTTACCGACTTACTTTATAGATTTGCTTCCGGCAAAAGTGACAGAACAATTTGGACTGTTCAGAGTGACTAGAATCAAAAAATTTTTCGGCTAATAGAGCACCAGGTTTAGGCTTAAAAAGGAAAATTTCAAAAAAAAATATAAAAACAGTTTTATAAAGCTTCTTAACATCAGTTAAATGTGAGATATTACAAGTGAAGCAATACATCATAAAAAAATTACATAAAGGCATTAGATTTTGCATTAAGTTTCAAAATAGATCACATAGATTTCATATAAAAGAGGGGTGGTCGCATATGTAGTATCAGAAAATAATATGACAATATAAACCCCTTAGCTAGATTTTCTAGAAGTTTAATATGGGCAAGCAACTTCCTCAGTGTAAAAAATAGGTTTCTCTGAAATCAAAGGGAAGAAATGAAAGAAACTCTCTTTCAAAAAATCTTTCTAAAAAAATCATTATAATTACAATCTAGTTTCAATAATATAGTATTAATATCCAAGCTATATAATAGAATAACTTAAATGTTTTTTTTTTAAGATATTAAAATAACTGTATTTTAAAAGAAATTAGTTTAATAAAACCTAATTTTATAGTTATAAAAAGAATTGTTATCATTATAAAATTTTTAATAGCATTAAATTAACAAATCACATACAAAACATATACACAACTAAAAAATTACATATTGAATTCACAATTACAAACAGGATACTAATTTCTGCAATTATGTATTTATAAAAAAAAGAATACTTAAACTGGCTTTTAAATCATGAAAAAGATTTTAAAACTCAGCATAAAATTAAAATTAATATAAAGAATAATTCTGAAAAAAGAAAAAAATGTGAAAAACTTAATTTTCTGGTACTATATTAAATTTAATTTGCTAAAATTTAAGCTATTCTATTGTACTTATTGCTAGACGATTATATTGGTCATTTTAAATTACTTCCATTTCATCCAGTATCCTGGAAGAAATGGGTTTTTTCCGAACAAAATGCCAACCTTGGTCAAAATATTGGGAAATTAGCATGAAACTGTAATAAAAATTTTTCTAATATTAAATTTGTATCCATAATATAAAAAATATATTTTTTTAAAAAAAGGCTTCATTTTGGTCTTAAACTGTCAAAAACTAGATATTGCGGGGTAGTTCTATATGAAAGCTGATAAAAAGTTTAAAAAATGGCAAAAACTTTAGCAGAAAAAAATAAAAATTAGCAATTAAACTATAATTTTTAGTTGAAAAAACATTATCTCATGAAACTTTGAAACATATTTTTAAAAGAATTGTCACTTTTCTTTTAACTCCTCAAATCTTTATGAACTTAAATTACAAATTTATACAGCAATATTTGAAAGTACACAGTTCTATCAATATATATGTATTTATTAATATAATTTTAAAAACACAACTAATTAATATTTAAGATAAATATATATTAATAAAATCAGTTACATATTTACATCTTTGTTCGTAATAAGAGTATGGTTAAAGAAGGTGCTTTATTTATTTTTTTTAACTTTTGATAACGGGCATTAAATCTAATGTTTCCTGTCAAAAACCATTCAAATCCCAAATTCTGGTCAACAGATAATCAAGAGCAATGTTATCCAAAGAAACATTTTTAGAAACTAACTTCACTCATTTATAAATTTTTGGAGGGCATCTTAAAATAGAGGGGAGAATTTTTAAACAAAGATTATGTTTATAAATTACAGATATTTTGCAACACAGATCATTCTATAATAATAACAGATAAATTATCTGAAGTACACAGACTACAATTACTGTTTGAATATGAAGAAGAAAAAAAAACATAATTCCACATTGCTTCCATTTTTTTTTTCACTATTTACAAGTTAATTAGACTAAGGTTTCTACATAGAAGAAAAAAATTGAAGCATAAAATTACAGTTATGTGCTTCTTTTATTTTCCCCAATTTTACAGCTTGCTCAAAATTTATGTCATATTCGACACTTTCCTTCAGTTGTCCTCCACGAAACAATATGGAAAGGTTATCCATTTATTGCACAGCTGGCTTTTAATATTTTATTTGCAGTTGCCAAGCTTATTTTTAAAACAGCTGCAGTTATTAACAATGTTAAAACAATAGCAATTTATTTCTTAAATTTGGATTATTTCTTAAATATTTACATTGGATAAAATCAACCAAATTCAACAGTGAAGTATGTTTCTATAATAACCATACTTAATAATTATTTTCTTCTTCTTCTACTTTTATTTTGATAGAAACCATATTTTAGCTTATTGGTTTTCAGTTTATGAATGGATTAAAATCAAATTAAGAACTAGACTAGATGCCTGTCTGTCATAAGAACCAATTTTAAGACTAATATTAATAAAAATGACGTGATAAAAAAAATTTCATTCTTCATTCATTCACTAAATATTTTCAAAATAATTCATGAAATTTTCATCATCACATATTTTAAAAATAATTTAAAGTCTTTCATTAATTTCTATGTTCAAAATTGCTAATAAAATTTATTCCTTATGCAGGGGTCTGTCCAGCCCGAATTTACTACCGTTTAGCGGTACCTTCACAAATTCAATTTTAGGTAAAACGGTAGTTTCACAAATTAAACTTTAGGAAAAACGGTATTTTCACAAAATACTTTTTCTTAAAATTTTATTTTTGTCTCCCTTAAGAAACGATAAATCTATATTTTTACCATGTTTTAGTGTTCACTTTTTAATATAATTTTTAATTTTTCACAAATTATGTCAAAATTTTCACAAAATAGGTACTTTTAAGAAAAACCTAGACAGACCCCTGCTATGTCTCAAGGTTCCAAAGCCAAAAAAAATTGGGAATCGCAGATTTAGATGAATCAAGACCCTGTTCAAGATTACACTCGATCAGAATACAAGAAAAATTTGAATATTTTACCAACTTTGATTTCAATGCTAAGTACAGGGCCAGAGGAATAAGACTTAAGCTCTGCTGGCAACGTACAGTAGTCTGGTAGCAGAAGACCATATGTTTTTTCCTCTTTGACATTCTTATGCGTTCTATTGCCTTTAAAACAATAAACAAAGTTAAATACATAAAATCACATAAAATGCAAAAAAATATAAACTAGATTATTTAATAGTTACTTGGTCGCATTAAATTGACTATACTGTTAAGTAGCTTAACATCATCGGCTTGAAGAGCAACAATAACCTGAAAAATCAACCAATATTAACATTGATGATTTTTTACATAACTTTAACAATGCTAACATAACATAACTTTATAAAAGTGCACATTTTTATGAAATATGAAAATTACAAACTAAGTCTTAGATACCACAATTCAAAGAAGATAATGTTATTAAAGAAAGAGATAAAAGCATCTAATCTCTGATTTGCTAAATATTATATCAACTGACAATAAATAAAGAGTTAACTGGCAGTAATAAATAGTAAGTTATTTAAATTTAATGAAACATAACTTTATAAAAAAAGAGCATTATTGCGAAATATGAAAATTGCAATTGATTTCATAGATAGCACAACTAGAAATTTTGATACTGTTGTTTAAAAAAAAGGAGGGAGAGAGATATGAAAAGCATCTAAACTCTGATTACCTGCATATTACATGAACTGACATTAATTATTAAAATGGATAAATAGTCAATATATTTAATTTACAAAACACAATAAGAAAACTTTCGACTTTTAATGTAAAATACTAAAATGTACAGGAAATACTAACATAACGTCTGATACACAATATTACTGCAAACTTTATTTGATCTGACAATTTTGCAATTTACTAGGATGATAGGGTAAAAAAAATTTTGAAACACTAAAATAGAATATATAAATTAAATTTACACTGTTTTCAGTAGGCTTTAAAATGTACGAGAATGTACTAACATAATGCTTGATACACAATATTATTATAACATTGTAACCTTTATTAGATTCTGACAATCTTACAGTTTACTAGGATGATAGGGGAAAAAAGGTTTTGAAACACTAAAATAGAATACATATATTAAATGCATACTGTTTTCAAAATTTCAATAAAAAAAATATGTTTTAAAAATTTAATAGAAAAAAAAATAATTATGAAGAAATAAGCAGATAGATAAATAGTGGATAAATAATGCAACTTGAATATTAAATATACAAATTAAGCAGCTAAATTATTTTACAACAATTTGGATAACAGAATAACAAAAGTAGCATATCTATTAATTATCTATAGTTAAGTACAGAAAATGTGTGTACATACAGGACAATTAACAAGATCATTCCCAAGTAGTGGCTTCATAACATTCTTTATCATAAGAATTTCATTTTCCATTTGATGTAGCAATCTCTCTGCATTTTTAGCATTCTGAAAAATATAAGACACTGAAAACCACATTTTAATAGCAAATATTAAAACAAATAAAGAAGTAAATACTTAAAAAAAGAATAATAGAAATTAATTAGCAAATGAGATTTGTATGAGGAGAATGTAGGAATATTGCAATGAAGGTTACTTTTATTTATTAACTTATTAATTTTACTTATTTAACATTTTTTTTAATGTTTATATTACAAGATAATAAGCAATGTAAAAGCAATGATAAATACAATATATGGTGAAGAGTCAATCCAGATTTTTTGTAAGAGGTTCTGTTTTTATGAAATTGAGAAAAATCTAATCATAATTTTATGAACATTTTATCATAATTAAAATTATTATAAAATATCATTTATGAATATTTTATAATAATTTTATATTCATAAAATTATGACTACAAAATTATTATAAAATATCGATTAAGAATATTTTATAACAATTATAGATTCTTATAGAATTATAATTACAGAATTATAGATTAGATAATTATAGAATTATAGATAGAATTTTATAATAATTATAGATTCGTAAAATCATGATAATAAATTAATAATCATAATTTTAAGAATATAAAATTATGAGTATGAAGGACTACACATAACATAGGGTTAAATTTGGTTATTTCAGACAAGGTTCTGTTTTTGTCAGTGTGAGAAAATATAGTATTTGATTTTATAGAAAAAAATTTGTCCTTTAAGAAGATGAAGTTCTTAAATGACAAATAATTACGAAATGATATTCACAGGGGTGATTGTGAGCCCAAGTCAAAATTCCAGAAAAATTCTAGAGTAAAAAAAAAAAAAGTTTAAATCGAATAATTCAAAAAAAATTGAAACAAGGTTTTTTTTTCCTTTTTCTCAATATTTCTTAGTTTACTTAAAATATATTTAAAATTTTACACATACCTATGAAAGACCTGGAGATTGAAGTTCACAAACATGTCTATCTTTCTTGAGTTTATAATTATAATAACTATTTACTGATAAAAAATGAATATTAATCTTGAATATAAGCTTATAAAGTATACGGCTCTTCCATATAAATAAATAAAATAAACTGAGTTTTTAAGTTTTGAAAATTTGATTTACGGAAACTTTTGTGATCAACGATTTTTTGAAACGTCTGAACCTTCGATCTCCGGAAACTTCCCGATCGTAATTAACGAATAATCCGGATTTTTTCCGAAGCACTATCAGCCCTGTATTCAGCCAAATAAAATTCTATAAAAATAACATTCAACATTTTGAAAAGTTATTCCTATTGCAACTACACTAGATTTAAGTTGGAGATGCTGAGTAAAAAAGGGAAAAAAAAAGGTCAAGAAAAAAAAAAAATTAATTAAAACTAAAGCTAAAATTTAGAAATTAAAACTAATATTTGAGAAATTTGCATTAGCCTTTTTAGATGAATTGTAATTTTAAGACAGTATTTAAAATTAAATTAACCTTAGAATTCAAGAAAAAAAATAATAGAGCTATGTCTAGTCTGCTGTCATTGCTACCTGTACTAGTCTCTTCTGCTGTCTATCATAAGGAAATGTAAAAATACTTTTTTAAATAATAAATTTTGCGAAGAGGATAAAATATTTTGTGAAAAGTCTATTTTTGTGATAAAACATTATGTAACAATAAAAATAGTTCTGAAAGGCTTCAGATATGATATCAATATAGTTTTTTTTTAAATATTACAAAAAATCAGTTTTTAATATGGAATATCATAAAGTGTCTGCTTTAGAAATTAAAATTTTAGCTATGGCCCGAACCCCTAATTTTTCTCAAATGAATGACCATTTTTCCATTCTAATTTATACATAAAACAAACCCCTATTTCTTCTAATCCAGTGTTTTCACTACAGCGCGAGAACGCGAGAATCTCGCATATTTCTTTCTTTTCTCGCATTAAAAAATTATTACCGCGAGAAATTCGCGCATTCTATAAATCAATTTAAAAATTCGCGAATTTCTCGGCATTTTTGAAAAAAGCTTAGAATTATGCCATTTAGAATAAAATCCGTTTCACTTTTCCTGGATCTTTCATTATTTTCAACATCTGGCATTTTTGAAAAAAGCTTAGAATTATGCCATTTAGAATAAAATCTGTTTCACTTTTCCTGGATCTTTCATTATTTTCAACATCTGCCCCCTTATCTGGCTTCCCTATTTACCAGTATTGTTCAAAACCTTTTCGAACAACAGAACACAACCACAGAACCCCTTTCAGAACACATTTCTCTGCAACCACATGTTTACCGTAGGTTAGGTTTCTTCATGTAAGACGTTCAAACTTTTTATGTGTTAATGTAAGATGGACAAATACCTTGTAAAGGCAAAATCTTCTATGATGATGCACCAAAAATATTCAATGCTTTAAAAAATAGAAGACGTTAAAAATGTATTATAATTAAAGAAATGATTTTTTTTCAAGAGTTTTTGTGTTTTTTTAGTTTTTAGAAATCTCACTTAACTTTTTGAAATCTCACCCTGTTTTTGAGAAAGGGTGAGAAATTCTCACCCATTTTTTTTTCTATGATGAAAACACTGTAATCTGATAGTAAACCGATTACATGAAAAGTTGATAAAGAAAAAATGCCTCTTCCACACAACAAAACATTAGTCTATCCTGCTGTCATACCTTCAAATAAAAGGATTAACTTTCAAAACTCTTACATGAAAACATTAATTTCAAAAATTTATACCTATTTCTAGGTTTTGATGGTGCAGAAAAAAAACACAATGCACAAACCTTATTTAATAAAATTTTACAATTAATTTTATTATATTTTATAATTTTATTATTAATTTTATAACATATAAAAGAAAATATAAATTTGTAACATAAAAAGTGAGTCAATTTTACTTCATAAGATCCCTCTTGCTTGATAAGCCTCAAAACTTTTCCTTCCTGAAACAGAAATTTTTTATTTGAATATACAATAAAACATAAAAAAAATTGGTTAAAAGAATTTAAATAAAATATCCAAGCAATTCAAAACTTAGCACTAATGTCATAAAACACTTTTAAAGGGGGAAAAAAGCATTATGGGAAATATGAGAGCAAACAGAAAAAACTAAAAATCAATAACAAACAACTTACAATAGAATAGTTCAGTTTTTAACATTATTGAAGCACTTAAAACCTGTCAACTGTTTTTTCACATTTGTTTACTTGTGAAGCTAATGAAGTTTTCTATCTGGTAATAGTGACCAAAAATTTTGCTTTGTAGTATAGCTTGATAAGGGAATTACAGAAAAATATTAGCAATATAGGAAAACTATAGCTTCTAAAATAAACTTTCTTTCAAATAGGTTAAAAGTATTTTTAATGAAATTAAAAAAATTTTAAACTTTAAGGGATATTTTTGCTTTGGTACCAGTTTGAGCAAACAACAACTGCTAAGATGTGAAAGTGTTTTTAAACTTGCAAAAGGTTTCTTAAAAAAAAGAAGTAAAATGTGCTATTCTTGCTGGGAATGGCTATGAATTGTATCTACTTTTCGAATCTGTCCTTTTCTGAGATGTTTCTTTTAATTTCTCCAGTGTCACAAAATTTGACAATTTTTTGATGCAGATACCAAATTTTCCAACGTCTAAAAATTTTTATTTAGCCCCAAAACATTTAAGAAGTGTGTCAAGTTTTTGCAGGATTTCATTAAAAGTTGCAAGCAGGAGATTAAGACATTTCTTCTTTAACTGATTTCTAGTTACTGATTAGTTAGGAAAAATGCTCAATACCAAATATATTCGAATAGACATTTGATTTCATAAGGTTCAACAAAAAAATCATTCATCTTTTCCCCCCTGTTTCTGTGGGTGTAGATATTTTCTCCACCAAAAGAAAACGAAGGCGCATTATTATTACCTTCCTTTTAATAATGTGTCTTAAATTATGACTTGGATCCGTTACTGCTAATAAAAAATTAAATTTGATAAAGCCCCGATACCTTTGCTTATTTAAATTTGCCCCAGTCACAAAATTTTACTTAAATTTGAAGAATACAAATTTTATTGACATTTCTTTAAAAATTTGATTAAATATGGAGCCAAAAATATTTATATAAATTATTTACAGCAATTCTTTTACATGCATAAAAATTAATTAAAAGTTTATAAAAATACTTATTGTAAAAAAAAAGTGAAAACTACCTTTTTCAAGCATATCACAAGACCAGTATTTCCTTCACCACGATATTCACAATTATCAGTGGTTAATTTAAGAAACATACTGCCGGAAACAAATCGAAAGAATAAGTAATTATTTGATTTATCATCATTACTAAATCTTCCTTCTTTTTTGTTTACATACTTATTACTTCCGGTTCCGGAAATATACCGGCAAGCACGGGTGCAGTTATCAATTTTTTATTAAACCAACTAAACTTCCGGCTGCCTATTTTTAAGGGCTTTAGGGACTTTTATTGCCTTAGGGGCTGTTTTCACTGCATTTAATTCACTCATCTGAAATTGAGGAGCATTCTCACTACATGTGATCGTACGTTAATGCGATTCGCTTATGCACGAGGTGTATTGGTGTGTTACATGGGGCAATTCTTCGTTATCTAGAATCTACATTAAAAGGTGCTAAAATACTTTTGTCATAGGATTCAGGATCTTGGAATACACGCGAAAGTAAATTTTTTAAAATTACCAAGAGTCACAGGTTTTGAAATTCAGGGTTCTTCAACCATTGGCGATCGAAATGGGCTACAGGTAGCGTAGAGCAAAACTCTCTATTAATGGCAACACTTCGCATGCTTTCACCATTAGCGTAATCAGAGGAGAAATTTACGTTAGTTTCTGTCTTGATTTTCAGATATATTAAAAACTTTTAGGTTGGGAAAACTATATGGAACCGAAATTTATATTGAATATAGTTCTAAAAGAAAGCATCGTGGTAATTTTAAAAAATACTTTTGACAATTAAATACGAAAAATAAGAAAGGAGAAAATATCGTACTATATTTCAATAGAACAGAAATTAGGAGGAGAGAGAAGAGGGGAGGGGCAAGACATAGTTTCGTATTCGAGTGTTGTGATTGCGAATTGCTTGGAAGTGCTGATTTTTTTTCAATAATTTCATATATCAGTATGTTGGGAAAAAAACGAGTAAATGACAAATTGCGGGTCATGAACCTGCATCTCTATGAACGTAATGAAATCGGTTCATATGGATAATAGTTTGGTTAGGAAGGGTAAAGCATTGACCCCATTGCCACAGTCACACCATTAGTTAAAACATTGGTTAAGATACCATTGCATTGAGCACAATGCCACATTTATTTCTAAAACTAAGCTGGAGTATTATCAATCTAAAGCTGGGTGCGTTTTAAGCTGCTTCTGAGGTTCCAAGTCCAGACCTTCACAATGACAACTCAGTGGCCAGTGCGTTTAATCACAATGAGCTATCACGACTCTCACTTTCATTGTATGAAAAGATTGTCAAGATACTTGTACAAAAAAGGCATTTTTATTGCGATTACGATATTCAATGTTTCCATATTAATTCACTTTGGCTGATAAGACAGGAACGGTAAATGCACTAACATGATGGTGCACTTTTTTTTTCTTTCTGATCAATATACTTTTGTTGTTGTAGTTCATTTGCGTCGCACTAGACCTGCACAATGGGCTATTGGCGACGGTCTGGGAAGCATCCCTGAGGATGATCCGAAGACATGCCATCACAATTCTGATCCTCTGCAGAGGGGATTGCACTCCAGCTTTGGTAGCCCGGCGACCTGCACGCGAAGTCGAGCACTTTACGGTAGAACAGTTTAACGAGGACCCATACCGAACACCCTCGGTCCCTACGCAGACTGATCCTCTGATCAATGGAAGAACTGCATTGGGCAGAACTTCTAATCCTATACCCGAACGTTATAAATAGTACACAATATTACTAAGTATTACAATATTACGTCTATTTATTACTAAACTGGATCTTTATGCCAATAATTTATGTTGACATTTATTCAGTCTTTTTTATAAAACTTCAAGACATTGTGGCCCAGGACAATAACGATTAGAATAGATGCACAGAAAATTAATAAGCGCTTGTTCCATCTCATCTCAAATATTCTAAGAAAAAATATGAATTTGATTTTATGTTTAGTCAATGTACTGTTTGAATTCCTGAAGTACACTGAAGAGCCAAAAAGACTGGTATACCTGCCTAATATGGTGTAGGGAAGCCCGTATGGAAAGCCCATATCGATGATGTTTCGTTGAATGGTTCGCACGCTGACACTTGTTGATGGCCCAGCATTGAAATCTGCTACAATTTGTGGAAGGGTTGCACGTCTGTCACGTTTAGTGATTGTTGATCTCGTTCTTGCATGATCTTTTTCCGACCGCAGAAATGTCGTAGATTTGATGTTTTACCGGATTTCCGATACTCACGGTATACTCGTGAAATCATCGTACGTGAAAATCCAAATTTCATTGCTATCTCGGAGATGCTATGTCCCATCTCCCGTGCGCCGACTATAACACCACGTTCAAACTCACTTAAATCTGTATAGCCTGGCATTGTAGCAGCAGTAACTGATTTAAGAACTGTGCTAGACACTCGTTGTCTTGTATACGCGTTGCCGATTGCAGTGCTGTACTTTGATTGGCTCCATACCCCTTTATTTGCATACTCATGCCTGTACCAGTTTTTTTGGCTCTTCAGTGTTGATTCTTACTGTTCTTAAAAAGCGTCAGTAACGTAATACAAGAGCTCGTGTGAAAAACAGAGTGCTTCTTAATCACCACCCGTAATTGTAATAATTATGTTACAACAATTTCAATCGCTTTAGCTTTATTGGTTTCCTTGGGCCTGATAGTGCATGGAACCGATCAAAACAAATTCAGGCTAAAGGACCACCAAATTTTTCTGGCCCCTTACAAAATAATTTAAAACTAAATTACTGAAGAGTACACCTAACAATAAAAAATAATCTATTGAACTGCATAATTCAAAAGAAGCATTCTAAGAAATTTTGAAAGCAGGCAATTGAAGATTATTTTTCTAAGATAAAGTTTACGCATCTATAAATTAAAGGCAAATATGAAACAACAAAACAATGTTATATCAAAATTAAAATAGTTTGGTGACCACAAACATTTGAAATCGGTAATTTTTGCTAAAAGCCACTGATTAGCTGAATTATTTATTATTTAGTACTTAAACCAACACAAAGGTAGCCCACCTTTCATTAGACTTTTTACTAATTTTTGAGGCCCCTCAGAAATTATGGGCCCTAGGCCCATGCCTATTGTGCCCAGGCAATAATCAGGCCCTGGATGGTGCATGACTTTCATGAGATATTTAGCTCCAACTTTGCTTGTTAACTCGGAAGACAGGTAGAGTTCTTACACACAGAAATAGTTTTAAGTGATTGATTTAAGAAATATAATAAATACTAGTTATATTTTTAAACATCTATTTCTTCCATAAAAGAGCCATTCTCAAAAATGACACTTAGGAATATTCAGTTATAATGTTTTAATTGTCAGTCGAAAACTCGTTCTTCTGGAATGGGTTATAACATTTTAAGAGAAAATTTAATGCCACATATTTGCCCTGCGAAACTTACAGTTTTATAACTACAATATTTCCCACAAGTGTCGTTTTTTAAAATCATACACTTGGAAGTTGAGCTTCGCAACTTTGTTCGAAATCGGCAAGCGAATTCTTATATCATGTTCATCATGCTTTAGATGAAGATAAGACTGAATTTCAGCATTAAAAAAGAAATTTTCAAAATGAATTTCCTGCATTTGATCCGCGAATCATCATATTTTTTGAGTATTCATACTTTTCTGCAAGAATCATAGTTCACAATGAAGTCGTACATTTAGAAGTTGAAGTTTAATTTTGTCTGAAAGTAAACATCCGAAATATCATGTTTCAGATGAAAATATATAACTTAATTTTTAAATTACAAAAGATAATTAAGACATTGTTTGAATTCTATTTTGCACATATCTTCTGAATCAACATTTTCATTTGCAATGCGAAACATGTATCTTTTAGAGATTCATATTTTTCACAGGATAATGCTTTACATTTCTTCAAAATGGTATTCTATAATTAGAACTTAAGCTTCAACCTTCGTCAGAAATTGGTATCGTGCTCTTATTCCTAAAAAAAAATTTCTTTTTACTAAGAGCACTTTTGAAATTATTTTCTGTACTGTGAAACCTACATTTTTTGGACGTCTATATTTTCTTCAAGAAATGTAAAGCAATGCAATTCCATGTAAATAAGGCGGGTTAATTTCATCATTAAGTCCTCCACGATGGCTAGTTAGTCTCATTATTGGATCCAAGAGTTCTCTTGTTAACTGGGTTGGGGTCAAAGAGGTCAATTTGTAAATTTTTCATTTAACTATGTTAACTGTTAACTGAGCCAAAACGTTAATATTTTCCTCATAAAGACTTCATCTTTGCTCTGAGTATTAACAAAAACCGGTTCAGAAGCGTGCGAAGAGGTTTTCTCTATCTCAAAGCAGAGTTTGTTATGTAACAGATCCGGTTCAGCTTCTTTCCTTGTTTCGGAGATCACTTCACTTATGAGGCAAGCATAAACACTCAAACCGAAACAGATAAGAGGCTCTGCCCCGTTCGCGTTGCATATTTCACTAATACGGAGTTGAACCTTTAATAAGTCTTAAACTCAAGAATGACTCCGTTTTTCAACATCCGTAATAAAATGAAATAAAAACCGACCATGGAATCATTTAGATAATTTTATAAGAAATAAATATTTTCGAATGCGGCATTCCAAAGTAAACCTGAAAATAATCACTCGCCGTTTGGCGAGTAAACAAGAAAAAGTGGCGACTTAAATAAACAACCGGTCACTTTTTCCCATTGCATTTTTTAAAAATCGCTTAATGATAAAAGTACATCTAAATAAAAAGACATTCTGGATAATTGGATTTTTATTAAAATACTTAATGCCTCCATTCAAAATTTTGATACTTCAGAATCCATCAATTTGTGGTGGAAAGATTCATGTATGTAGAAGGAGAGTTTTTTAACAATTCACACATTTCAAAGTAGCAATGTATACATTAAATGTAGTTTGCCACCCCAAATATTTTTATATAAAGTTCTTTGAAATCAGTATGTTTAACTAAGTTTTATCCCATATTTACATTATTTTTTTGTTGAATTAGCTTTTTATTGTCGTAAATAATTTCTAATATGAATTGGTTTAAAAATTAAATTTTATCCAAGCAAGCCAAAAAAAAAAAAGTTTGCAAAGTAGTTGCAAAGTAGTTATTAAACGAAAAGGACCTATCAATATCTGTCACTGACTTATTAAGTTTGAGAAGAAAGTGCCTAATAAGTTATTAGAG